AACCACTGCGCCACCAGGGAAGCCCTCAATCCTGTTTTTAATGCAACTTCCCTCCCTTAACTCTGCCTGTGTCCCCTACTCCAAAGATCCTCTTACTGTCTCCAGAGGATAAACCTCCAGTCTTTACATGGATATGAATAGCTCTTCCCTAAACCCTTTTTTTTTTTTTTTTTAGTTTCCTCCCAACATTAAGATGCGCTTTACAGTTGTTTTGATATTGAGGGTAACTATAATGAAATTTCTGTACCCAAAGAGAGACTAGGTGGGGTAGGCAGAATGGGCCGCTCTCCCTACAACTGGCCACCACCACCACCACCCCACCACCCCACCACCCCCACCCCTGAGGAAAAAGAAAACAAAAACAAAAAAAACAAAACCACCTGTGAGTATATAATTTACATGGCAAAAGGCTTTGCGTATGAGATTAAGGATCTTGAGCTGGAGAGAGTATCCTGGATTATCCAGGTGAGCCCAATGTAATCACAAAGATGCTTATAAAAGGGAAGCAGAGGTCAGAGTACCAAGTAGCCTCAAACCGAGGAATGCAGGCAGCATGTAGAAGCTGAAAGCAGCAAGGAAATGGATTCTCCCCTACAGTCTCCAGATGTAATGCAGCCCTGCCAACCTCTTGGATGTCTGACCTTCAGAACTGTAAGCTAACACATCTGTGTTGTTTTAAGCCACTGAATTTGTTGTAATATGTTACAGCAACAATAGGAAACTAACACACCAGGTGAACTAATGAGCTAAGACACTCTCCAGACCTTGGGATTCTCGACCTTACTAGTAGTCTCTACCAGTAGTTCTTGTTGGCAAAAAATTTAATCAGTTGATCTAAGAAAGAATGGGAAAATTTTATTCAAGCCAAATTTGAGGATTGAGCATCCTCAAACCCGGTAAGAGCATCTCAGAAAGCTCTGAGAATTGTTTTGCCCATTAGAAGTCAAGACACAGTTTATATGTTTTTTTTTGAGACAGGGCTGTATGTTAAATGATGTGTTTGTACTTGACAGTTTTCATTATCCAGATCTAAGCACCATCGTGGTGGGTCATGTGAACCTTTACAAGCTCAAGAAGGCCTGTTATCTTTCAAGGAGTTGTCTTGTTGATGCTAGGAGAATATTGCTATTTATGGTTGAGCAGGTCTTCCTGCTGATGGGGGAGCTTTGGTTCA